CGTGTTCGGCTGTTATGGCTGCCGAAAGGGAAGCTGGTCCCTTCACTATGATTATGGAAAGCCCGTAGTCCAGGTGTGTGACCAGGGTTTTTCTGCATGGAGGCCCAGAGAGGCCATGTTTGAAGCTGCAAAGTTGAAGCCTGAATTGCCTTGGAGATCCCAAAATGGTAGAGATGCAATACCAGTGGGACAGCTGCTAAGGAAAGCTGCTAACAGGGAGGGGAACCAGCCCAAAAGAAAGATGTGTGTTTCAGTCAACAAACTGAAAGAAGTTGGAGACCTGAAGAGCGTTTTTGAAATCAGACATGGAGATGCAAAGCTTGGAGTTTGCCCAGTTGTTTTTGGGTCTTGCTTTGGTGTGGTATTTCCTGACTATGCTCCCTATGCCATTATACGTTCGAAATATGTCATCTGCTTTTTGATTTTATAGGGGATTACAGTTAAGAAATTGCATGAATCTCAGAAGAGACTTTGAATTTTAGATTTACAAATTAGTTTAAGACTGTTATAAACTATGGTGGCTTTTGAAGTTGTTCTGAATGCAATTTTACATTATGGTATGCTTTCCACAAGTCATTATTTTTCAAAGTTCTACTATTTTCCAGTAGTACCAGGCAAGCAACCAAGCCTATAATACAAGGACTTTTGTATTTCCATTGATACTGCTGTTATTCTGGTCTTGGTTACATGGCCATTTACAGGTGACACTTCTTTTTACTGCAGGCTTCTTATATTCTGGCCATAGTAATCTTTTTGACCTCTCTTCTGGTATATCCCTTGAGCCACAGATACAGCACCTCTTAATTTTTAAAAATAATACCATATTACATATGTTTTCTCATTCATTTAAACATTTTCTTTTACTAAATTGCTAGATTTCCATTCTATTACATGTGTTAAAGAATAATTTTTGAAATGATTTCCTTATTTCTCCCTATATATTTTAATGTTCTTAAAAGCGAAATAGATTTTGAGAGACATTTGTTTACACCAGACCTGAGTGTGGCATGTAGGTCTGCTAATGTTCCTCTTTTACCTACCACACACACCACTGCTCTTACTAGGTAGCTCCATTAAAGTCAAATCACGGGCTCCCCTAATATGCATGCCAGGCTGAGACCTTTTTAAAATATATCTTTTTTAGAGTTTAAAAATAAATGTAAGAATCACATTCTCAACCCTGTCTTGAAAAAACAAAAAAGAAAAAGAATTAAATTCTCTTATTTTTTACCATATGTTATTAACTTCAATTTTTTTTCTGTATTCATTCTCTATTACTATCACTATTGAACATATAATATCCAAAAAAAAAAAAAAAAAAACAATGGGAAACTTTGGGATCCGAGTGTTTCCAGAATTTCTCTCAATTATCTTCTTGGAATAATTATAATCATGGCCCAGATTTAGCCTACCCCCAATTCTGTATTCCATTATGAAAGCCATTTTATGAAGTTTTGTAGTTCTCCTGAGTAAAGGAAGTCATAAGCTAGGGCAAGTTTCAAATCCATTGGTGGGTACATTCTAATGCCAGATACAGTGCGATGGGGGAAGCTTTTCTGTAGGCCTAAGATAATGTGTAAACTTTTGCTGGTGGGAGCAAGTGCTCTGCTGGGTTAACAGACTCAGCAAGGTTTCTGTCTATAAGGCACAAGATGTTAGTTCTGTCACAGAGATCAGTAAGGAATCCGGAGGACAGCTTGGCCTAAAATAAGAAAAGAGGCCTCTGGACTTGCAATCTCTCTACACTGTGGACATTCTAATTAGTCTACAAGTGTCTGCAGATACTGCTTCTTTCCAGGAATTTTTATTCACACTGTACACCTTCATCCCCTCATTAGCAAGTACTTGTATTTAATAAAAGAGCAACCTTGTCTTATAAACAAGGAAAAGAGCCGGGCATTGGTGGCGCACGCCTTTAACCCTAGCACTCGGGAGGCAGAGGCAAGCGGATCTCTGTGAGTTCCAGGCCAGCCTGGTCTCCAGAGCGAGTGCCAGGATAGGCTTCAAAGCTCCACGGAGAAACCCTGTCTCGAAACCGCCCCCCCCCAAATAATAATAATAATAAATAAAAAAATAAACAAAGAGAAGAGTGTGAAGAGACTGGACTGCCAGATAGCAGTTGTTCTCTGAAAATGACTGTCCAATTTCAGTATCAGTTGCATAATACGTTAGGTCTTGATTTGCACTACTTTCACTACCAGGGTGGCTGCAAATCATTTTTATTTGCTAACATGGATTTGTGCTGAGTCACAGCAGATCTATGTCTCAATTTACATGCAAGTACAGAGGGTCCTGTTTACTGAAAATAACTAAGTCACTAAATAAGTGTCTCTGCCTCTTCCAATCCCAGTATTACTTTGCTAGTCTTTTATAGTATTCTATCTTTTCCCTGGAAGAAGAGATGAAATTCTTATTCTCTTCCTGATTCTGATTTTTGTTTTTGCTTTCACTTATGTTTTAACTGTTTATTATCTTTATTATAGCTCTGTAATTTTGGAATTTTATTTCTGATCAGTTCAGATAGTCATGACAAATTACCCTGATTATCAGTACAGTTACATTTTCTAAATTAGTTACTTTTGTTTCTTGTGGATAAAGTAATTTCTCCAACTGCTCTTACCTAGTCTGCTAGTCTGCCTCAATTTGTTGCTTCTTTTATTAGTCTTGTTCGTTTATCAAGCCCATCCTCCTGGCATCCACAACCATATTTTTTGTTGTGTGTTTTGTATTTATGTGTGTGGTGTGTGTGTGTGCATGTGTGTGTGTGTGTGTGTGTGTGTGTGTGTGTGTGTGTGTGTGTGTGCGTACTTCTTTATACCTTCACTATGAATTGATTTTTTTTCCTTTCTGATAGAATGTGTCTCCCTCATAGTAGACAAAGCATACTTAAAGTCAAAACATTGTATTTAGATTCATTCCATGGGCTATTTGTCTACCATGGGCCTTCCTTCAACATCCCTTGCTATGCTTAGTAATATATATATACTTGCCATTTTTTTTTACTGTATTATTTAGTGTTTTGAATCAAAGTTGTCAGTTTATCCACATAAATCATAATTTCTATGATAGGATATTCTTGTGAGCTTTAGATATGTTTTTTTGTGCTGTTTGAATCTATGAGGTCAGCTTTCTCATTATGTCTAACTCATTCTTTAATATATCCGATACTTCCCATTAGGAATACTATTAATGTATTGTTCGTTTAGCATCCATTTTATTTATTTATTTATTTATTTATTTATTTATTTATTTAGATTTTTCGAGACAGGGTTTCTCTGAGTAGCTTTGAAGCCTATCCTGGCACTCGCTCTGGAGACCAGGCTGGCCTTGAACTCACAGAGATCTGCCTGCCTCTGCCTCCTGAGTGCTGGGGTTAAAGGTATGCACCACCAATGCCCGGCTACTATTGTGTTTATAAATCTATATTTTCTTTTCATTGTTTCATTTCTGAAACACTTTTGAATATTTTGAAGTGATTCAGTAACTATTATACTTCATCTACTCTGTCTGTTTTATCTGTATATCCTATAACTTACATCTTTCTCCTGTAAAACTAGGCCATTGACATCTGTGATCCAAACCCAGTACTGATGCTAATGCTCTGTGTCTACATGTATGAAAGGCTGCCTACATACCTCCCCAAGAAGGTGGTGCCATTCTCTTGTACTCTGTATGATGTTGTGCTGGGACAGGTAAGAGGAACTTTGAAACCATCCTCACTAATTCATCTACAGCCCCAAATATGTAAAGATATTTAAATGGCTTTTAGAAATTTAAATAGAAGTTCTATTTATGTATAAGTTAGAGAATCATAGAATGTTGAAAGCAGTAAATACAGGCAGTGTTCGTTGGTAAAGCCATTTGTAGTCATTTTCTGTGATTATTCACATGATATTGATGTTTGTGTTTAAACAAACTAATGATAAAGTAGAAAAGAACATTATGATGACAAATTGTTCAAAAACATGTGTCATATCTATTGTGAAATACTGAAGTTGTTTGTCACCATTAAACTGTCAGGGCTAGCTGTGGAAGTTCCAGAACTATAAAACAGAAACAGTTCACAATGAGTCTGCTGTGGTCATCAAAGTTTTCTTCTTAAAACACAATGTTACATGTATGAAAGGCTGCCTACATACCTCCCCAAGAAGGTGGTGCCATTCTCTTGTACTCTGTATGATGTTTTATGTCTCTGAGACATAAAAGCATTTGGTGTACTAATACATGGAATATACATATAAATGTACATACATGCATACATGCATGCAAAGTATATACATATATAATATAAAACATAGCATGAATATTTTCTTCTTAAGTTATAAGTGATATCTGTATGTTGTTGAACAATATGGATCCTTAAATCTTTAGTGAAAACTAAAGACAGAAATAATTAGCATTAGTATACTTACTCTGATAGTCACCAAAATTTTTATTAAACAAGGTTTATTTTTTCTTTCTCCAGATATTTTCCATATTCTTTGTGATTTACAGGAACTATACATGCTGTTATCTTTTCACTATTCAAATTCTTGGACTTTTGATTCAGAGTTATGATTTCCTACTCTAACTTGGCAAATAATAACTTTTTACCAAATTTCTCCCTCCTAAGTCTGTACTTTCCATAATATTCTTGCATACTATTAAGACATATATCCATGACACTTGTTTAAAATTGTAAGACCGAGTTATAAGGATTTATTTAAAATGATAATCTAGACTTTTTACAGGATTGTCATTGTAGGTAATTGAGGTGAACCCTGAATATAAAAAGAAAAAAAAAGAAGAATTTGTAACCAAGGAGATACAGGATGGTCAATGACTGAAGTATTACTAAGAGGAAACACCAGGAGTAAAGGAAGATTCTGGCTAACCCATCTTACTAGGATTCTTGTAGGGAAGACTATCAGACATTTTCTGAGGAAGAGTAGTGGTTAAGGAGTGTGCTCTATTACATAGGATGATCAGATTTCAAAGGTGGAAGATTTTGGATAAAGAATCTCCCAAAAATTGTGTTCTTGAGAAATGCTCAACAATAGTGAAACTGAGCTCAAAAGGGCTGGACTAGAAATCAATCAAGGGGAAATCCTCTCCTTCTTCTGTATGTTTGGATAGAACTTGGAAAACCATGCTGATAACCATATTGATACTAGGGTAAAGCAGGCAAAGATCAGGGTCTCTTCTCCTAGAAAAAAACTCCAGAGGATAAAATAGTCACCAGAGGAGAGATTTGTAGGCTTGCAATGAAATAAAAGTAACAAAGTAAATACATTATGAGACCAGGAAGGCCAACAGACCATGATGTAAACAATAGCTCTGATTCCCCAGGGTCCTGTTCTGAATGCACGTACTTTGTTCATTTTCTAATACATATTTATTACTTTGACAATTTACAAGTGTATATAATATATTCTGATTAATCTTTTCCCCACTTCCACTTTGATCTCCCTCCAACTGTCTCAACCTTCGATCATGCCTATCAGTCCTCCTAAGATTGATGATTTTTACTTTAGTTTTGTGGCCAATTTAGTTTAACCAGGGTTATTTTAGTGCACATTGAATTAGAGCTATCCACCTGACCCTAGTGGAGTCACGAATGACTTCCGTTTTCCTGAATCTATCAGTAGCAAATAATTCAGTAAAAGGGTGTAGGGCCTCTTGTGGTAGACTGAGTGCAGGCATCTGCAGTTGCTGCCGGTTAAAATCAGAGAGACTGATTTTGCCCAGAATATGACATTTCACAGTTCTTCTCCATACCACCAAGCTCTTGCATTCTTTTCTGTCCTCTCTTCTTCAAGGTTTCCTGAGACTTAGGATGTTTTGTCTAGCGTTCTATACTTATCCATCACTTATTCTCAGCACTTTGTACAGTCATGCATGTCTTCATTCAGTCTTTCCTTGCACAAGCAGGTAATATTGTTAATGCCTTTTCTTTTCCTTGCATCCTTATAGCAACTCAAACTATGATAGCTAGCCAATACGGAGAAAGCTTATTCCTTTTAATGAAGTGAGTATAAAAAATATGTTCTGCCCAAGAAGACATGTGCATTGTTGGCAAAACAGAAAACAAAACAAAAAAAGTGCCCTCTTCAATCTCGGGCCAACCAAAGAATAATTAATTAACTCTGTTTTATTATTTGTGGTCTAACTTTGTAGTCAACTGAAGGTGATCCAGCGTAGGCCTAACAGCAGCTTCAGTATTTGAAATAAGAGATTGCTAACTGCATTTTCTACATCAAAGTCACCTGGCAGATGAGCCCTTTCTTTCAGTTTTGTTAGTTTTAGGCCAGTAACAAATACCTAATTGTATTCCCTGCCATCAGTTTTCTCTTTAGCTTTGTAGTTAACTTAAGGCTCTCATCATTGGTTCATCTTTAATCTAGAAGCTACAAGCCCTAAGCTGTTCTTCTGTTTGAGGATTGCCTGCTGGAAATTTAGGATTTGAAACCTTCATGTTGTTTTCCTTTTTAATTGTTGTGGTTTTTTTTTGAGATTCTGTCTGTCCCCTCTTCCAAGTAGCCAATTCTTTACCCCATGTTTCTGTATTATTTTCCTGAATTTCCATCATATTTGCATATACTTTATTTTAACAATTTCAATATATATACCCATTAATATTGAAATAACTGTCTTCTTCTTCTTCTTCTTCTTCTTCTTCTTCTTCTTCTTCTTCTTCTTCTTTTTCTTCTTCTTCTTCTTCTTTTAATAATCTCCATGTTTCTGGTTTAGATAATACCTAATTAAACTCCTTCCAGACCAGGACATAATCATTTCTACCTTGGATATGTCTTCAAACTTAACCTCTTTGGGAAACGTTATTCACTGATCTGAAAGATTATCATTTTATGGAAACTAAATTATTGTAGTTTTGCTTAAAATCTTCTGAAAATTCTACTCCCAAATAAAAGTTAAATCCAAGTTGTTAGTTTTGGAACATCGAATTGCCACCTAAAATATTAGAAGATTTTTCTTCAATTTGATAAATTGTAAGGATAGAAGTACTATCATTAAACACCAAGTCTATAGTTTAGAAGGTGATTCATGCTTATTCATTACTTGAGAGGTCGAAACTGCAAGAGAATAATTTCCAGGCTCTCCTGGGCTATGTAGCAATGCCCTGTCCAACAAACATGGAAATTCTAATACTGTTTTACACCTTCCAGTTAATATAGGATACATTAAGCTGAGTACGTTCATTTGTGTGCTGAATGTCTAACTTTCTGTGTCAAAACTAAGAAATAGTATGAGTTTTTAATCTTCTTTCTATTATCTTCTCTGCCAATTTAGATACTAGTGAAAAATCCAAGCTTGAAAAATTTAGTGTATACAGCTACAATTGTTGGAAGAGATGCTTCTGACTTCTGTCTTGCCCAGACTGGGAATATTGTAACAATTTCCCCGAAGTGAGTGTTTTAAAAATATTCTAACTTATTTAACTTGTCGGACCTAGTAGACATTTATTATATACCATAAGTATTAAGATGTGACTTTAATTTTTCTAAATTGATAGGTATGTAATGAAAAACTTGAACTCATAAATAACATAGTTACGATTATGAGATTCCTTTTTAATTTTGTCAAAGCAGTTCTAAAAATACAAACAGCTAATTTTATGCATTATTTAATTTTAGTTTAAATTGTGTTCAAATGGACCATCATGTTAACAACATAAATTCTTCCTTTACCTAGCCCAAATCTGTTTCATGAAGGAAATGAAGCTATTGCATACTAACACTATATAATTTTGTAATATACATGTTACATTATGTGGAGTTCATCATTATTCTAGCAAGATAGGATCATGATTGAAATTTTGAAGCTATGGAAGAGTGAAGAAACATAAGAGTAAAAATTGTAAAATTCTCCTCCCAAAAAGCACTGATGTCACTATATTTCTTTATATTCTCTTGTTATTGTGATACATAAATAGTAAATAAGTGTTTATAAATGCCCATATAATCCTAATTATTACATACAAGGGAATACATCCTTCCTTTTTAAATGTATTCAGTGATGTATACTCAACCATGCACTATAGAATAGATAATCCAGGAGATTAAGAATTATATACTTTTGTCTAATTACTGTATCCCATAAACCTAAAACAATTCCTGACACATTAGAAATTATCTATAAATATAAATTGAACGAGGGAATTAGTAAATTAATGTACTGTAAGCATTATATAGAAAATTCTTAATTCAATATGTTATTCTTGCACCAGATTTGAGCTTCTACACCACAGAAATCACTCTCATTATGTAAAGCTTTTTATTTTCAATGAAATTCCACCCCACAAGTCTTGTATAACAGTCCATTTGAACAAGATTTTGATTAGTGAGGACACATTTGACCAAAAGTCCTCCTGTTTTATGTGCCCTGTGATTTTCCCTACAAAATATAGCTTGTGTACTTCTGATGTTATTAAAATGCACTCACTCACTCTGCCATTTCGTCTACTTCATCTCAACCATTAATCGGTGGTGGTTCCACAGACTATGGCAATTAGGCCAAGGTTTGACAGCAAGGGAAAGTATTCCTATGTTCATTCTCATCATTTTTACTTTAACAGAGTTTATAAGTTGTAATTTGTAGGACAAAATAACTGAGTATTATATATAATACTAGTTATACTAGAATCAAAAGTAAAAATCAGTGGTAAAATATCCCTAGGATTTATCACTTGTCATGTCATTCAGTCATGAAAACCCAGCTCATTCTTAATTCAAAGTCCATTACTTACATGAAAAGGGAAAGCAAGAAGTGCTACATTTCCTCCTTGCACAAGAGAAAACTGAAAGAGAACAAAATTGACTGCATGATAGATGTGAAGAGGCAATTTCATAGTACTGTGATACTGTTTCATACCCTGTAACTATTCTAAAGAGTATGAGTTAGCAAGTCTCTGAGCTCATCACAGCCCACGAGGCTGGGATAGCTTCCAAGAAATATTCTTGTACTTCAGAAGCCTCCAATTCATTTCAAAAGGGTCTGCGTGCTTCCTCTCAAGGCTTATAGCAGAGCACTTAAGCTGTCAAAATGTGGCCCAATGTCAGCATTTTTCTATAAGTGGGTAAATTGAATCTTGTCCACAGCTACAGACTGCCATTAGACTACATGTTATACTACATGTATAAATATGTGTGTCATGTGTAAAGATATGAAAACACCTGGATATGTTTTCTTTACTTCATCTTTTAATTGATTTTTTTTCAAATAACTAACATACTACTGCTCTTTTCATTATCAGATTGTACTTTCCAACATTAGCTTGAGGAATTATTTTAATTCAGAAATTTGTGTTAATTTTGTCTGTTTGTTTGCACCATATAACCAAGATAAAGTATAAGACATGACTAAGATTTTATGGACAAAAATATACTCATAACTTCATACAAAATGTGTATGGTTTCTTATTGTTTCCTGCTAGAAGTTATAATATTATACATATACTAGATAATTAAATTTAGATTATACAGATGGCTTTTTGCTTCAGTGTTTATCGTAAAAGTGAATACAGTACAGGGTAGAGGTACTAAACTTGGTCTGTATCTAATATATATTTAGTAGTCTTTTATTGTAACAAAATGCTGCCTCTTATTTTTTATTAAACAGAAACCAAATTGTCCTCATTGTGAAATTTTTAAGTCGGTTCCTCCATCCTGCTGAAGCTACACTATTATTAATTTCAAAACCTAAGGCCGGAGTCGGAGGCAGTACTATGGCTTTTGCTCTGAAAGGAGAAGTACTAAATTTTAAAGCAATTGTAAGTAAACTGTACTTATTTTGTGTACTTTTGCTCCTGTTCCCCAGCCCCTGTAATGTCACACCATGAGTATTCTTACCTGTTTGTGTCTGTTCAAGTCTTATTCCTTTAGGTCATCTCTTTGCCATCAAACCTTGTAATTTAAGGTTTTGTTGTGACAACACTGAAGGTTTTGAGTTGATTCCACAAATACTCTTCTGCTACAGACATTTATCAACTTTTATACATCTTTTAATTTTTATTTATTCAGTGTGTGTGTGTCATCTGCACACACATTCGAATACTTGCACATCTGTATTAGTGTGTGTGTGTGTGTGTGTGTGTGTGTGTGTGTGTGTGTGTGTCACAGCATGAGGAAAGTCAGAAGACTGCTTGTTCTCTCCTACATGGATCATGCAAATTGAACACAGGTTAAAAGGCTTGGCAGCAAGCATTTTTGCATGCTCAATCATCTTTCTAACTGTGCATTCATTAGTTTATTTGAGTGTTTGTAAAACCAATCAATTATAAAGTTCATGACAATACTAGATTTATTGAAGGATTGTGATGTATTTGACTGAATTCTACATGTTTGGATCTCAAAAGAAGGGGAAGAAATACATTGGAAAACTTTTATAAACATCCTGTTTAAATATTATTTGCTACCATGGATAAATAGTAAAGTCAAGTAATTTTTTTGTTTCCGGGGCTTGGGGAAACTACATAAAAAAAGAACTTTTGAGTATGCAAGGCTAGAATATAAAGTATAAAGAATGATTCTAGAAGTGTTCAATGGTAGCCTGATACTAGAAAAGAGAACCAAGATGCTTACGTGGACAGACTTACCAGTGATGCCCCAAACAAAGGGTGCTTATTTCTCACTATGATAATGTTGTTTTCTTCCAATTTCCTTTAGTAATGAACACTTCACTTCTCTCAACTCTTTCACATACATTCACATACAAAGTAAAACAATGTATTACTTTGTCACGTGCAAATCAGTCCAATGGCTGATTTTAGCCCATCATTAACCTCAGTAAGTGAGAAAAAACTGATTGCCTGAATGTCATGCAGCTCTGATTACATACACCCTCTCTTCCCACTCAGGTCATAAGGAAGTAGATTATATTATAATGGAGAAAATATTTCAGACAAATACAGTCATCTTATAAGGGCAAAATTTCTAGAAATTTTTCTATACAGAAATAATTTCAAATTTTTATCTTATATCTACTCTTTCCTTGTAAGCATGTCATTATAACCGCCATAATATGAATATAGACAAGTCAGTATTCATACACAGATTACAAAGATATACACACACATACCTCTTTTTTGCTTAGGTAGATACAAATAATATATATTATACAATATACATTATATACAAATAATACATATTATTTGTAATGTATATGTATATATTATCTGTAGATAGAAATCATGTCTGATTATTCCAGAAATCGTTATCTATTTATTTATGAAATCAGTTTGAAAGAGATAAATTTAAGAGTTATTCAAATCAAATGTTTTAATTATTATGGATAAATATAACATAAATTACATTTTACCCTATCTGAATTTTTATATTAAATATTTGTGGGGGAAATAATTATATTAATTATTGTATTAATTAAGTGGACAATAGTTTTTGATGTTACATTTAAAAGTTAAAGATAATTTGGGTTTTGACATTATTATATATTATGACTTTTTTTACTTTAGGATATTCTAAAATGCAAAGCTCCATGTTATCAATGGAAAGAAGTCTCTGTGAATGTGAAAAATCCCTTTGTGATGGGTGGAGATTTTCGGTAAGTTTTTGCTTTAATGTAAATTTATTGCAGTTCACTATCTATATTCACCCTGATTCTTCTGAGGGGAAATTGAATGTGCTTATATTCTTTATGTCCCTATGAACTGTGATAGCAATGCCTGTACCCGTCCAAATGAGACAAAATCATGACACAGAGATTAAGTAGAATTAGACACAAAGTGCCATCTCTAGCCAAGATACTATTTGTAACTGATACCTGCTGATAAAATGAAAATGAATTTCCATCTAAAATATATTTAATCCAGAAATAAGTCTCATGCAATGTAAGTATTGGGACAAAAAATGTCAATATAATATAAAATGTGCTGTCTTTAACATTTGATAACCTATTACTTAATACTTGTCACCTTGAAATATTTTGAATCATTCTATGTTCAGACTTTTAAAGATTTGTTATTAATGATATCATACATTATTGATTACACAAAATTTATTATACTGAAATAATTATTTATGAAATTATAAATTCCATATCCAAATAAATTCAAATTTACTAATGAGCCCTTCAGCAAATTTCTCATATCCATTTTAGTCTCCAAGTCCAGAATTTCTGCCCAGTTCTTTTTTAAATAATCTTTGTTGATATTCTATGTATAATACTACATTAGCCTCATACTTCCTTTATTTCTTTAATATGTTTCTGTAGTTCTTTGAAGTTATGTGCAATAACTAGTTTGGATTTGTTTCTAATAGACCTGATATCTGGGCCACAGACATTTTCAGTCATCTATTTCATTTCCCGTTTCTTTATATGTTTGATATGTTTTTCTTTTTTGATTTACTGTCTTTAATGTTTTTTCATACATTTTGAATATATAACTTCCTCTCCCCTAACTCCTCATGGATCCTTCCTACCCTCCCAACTTCATGTTCCCCCACTAACAAAAAAATAAAAATGCAGATCAAAATAAAGAAAAAAACATGAAACCAAGACAAAAAATTCAAAAAGTGCACAGAAATCATAGAGTTGTGTTTACCTACTATTTTTGAGCATAAAACCTGTACTGGAGTGTTGTCTATATTTTGAGTGTCACTCCACTGGAGGAAACTGGTTTTCCTTTTTTCAGCACATGTTAGGTACAAATATTATCTTGGTTAGAGATAGAATTTTGTGTCCAATTCTACTTCTCGGTGTCAGGATTTTGTCTGGCTTGAACTTGTGCAGGCATTGCTATCACAGTCTCTGTGAATTTACATGTGTATCTTTCCTGATGTTTTTGAAGGCATTGTTTCTTTAGAGTCATCCACCACCCCTGGCTCTTGCAATTTTTCTCCCTCCTCTTACACATAAATCCCTGCAACTTGATAAAGACATCCCAGTTAGGGTTGAGTGTTCCAGAATCTTTTATGCTGCACATCATCTACTTGTGGGTCTCTGTGTTAATTCCCATCTACTGCAACAAGAAACTTCTCTGGTAAAGGTTGAACAATGCCCTAATCTATGGGTATATTAATATGTCATTAGGAGTCATTTTATGGCTGTTGCTCATTTTATTGCTACTAATACTGCAGAATAATAGTAGCCTTTATCCTAGGTCCATGAACTTTCTATTCTTAAGTTCTTGCTACTTTAACATTATCAGGTGATCTTCCAGCTTATGGAATGGGCCTTAAATTCAACCAAATAATATTTGGTTACTCCCATAATATTTGTACTACTATTGCAACACAGTCTTACAGTCAGGTCACTCTTGTAGGTTGCAGAGTTTGTAGCTGGGTGATAAGAATGTTTTTCCCCCTTGGGTAGCATTCATAGTACCTTCCAGCTCCATGAACACTAGTCAGTAGGGGTGAAGCTTCTAGTTGGCACAAACCTGATTTCTTTAATATCATAAGATTTTTGTATTTTTACTAAAAGAGCCTTGCTGTCAGGTTATGGGGGATAACCAGTAACATTGCCAATTGCCTATAATGTTTACCAGAGGGATCTATGACACTTTTAGCCAATGACTCAACAAGATGTATATGGCTCAAAGTTTCTATGAACGATTCTGAACATTTTTTGAAACAGTATTATACATATTCTGAGTATCAGTTCTATATCTTTCAGGCCTGTTTATTAATAATTTGTTTTTATTTTATTTTCCATGTAAATATTTCACATATTTAAGTTTGAGTGCTTTCCCTTTTCCCTGATATATCCTTTGAGTTACAGAATGAGCACACATGTACACTCTGAATGTAAGTTATAGATGATGAGAAAAATAAAAAGGAACAGTGGTTTGTTGTTATCTGAATTTTTTACATTACAATTGGAAACAATTCTTTCTGTATTTATTTCAGTGTCATTCTTGTGGAATCTACAACACTTATGTATTTGCCAAAACAAGTAAATGATTCATCAAAATCTGCTGTGATGCCTGAGTAAGTGGCTTTGATTTGATACTCATCAAAGTGGACCTGTTCTGTGGCTGACATGGCTTGCACTTGTCTACGGGATCTTATGTTATTTTTTAAGGGTGACATGCAAGTAAACTTAAAATATTTGATTAAATAATTATATATTTTTATATTTTTCAGTTTCTTGCTCGAATAAGACACTCTTTGTCATTATAGATTTTTCTTAAATGGGTATATTTTTTCATATTAACAGTGAAAACTAATATGGTGATACTTTTGAGCCAGATGTCTACCCAGAATTGCAGTATCTGAGCCTAAATGATCCAAGAACAACAACAAAAAAAGATGAACTGGAAAATTTAGTTTACTTACATGATTTGAAATACAACATAGGTATTTTATATCACAAATTTGGTATGTTTTCTTTTGCACTGTTATTTTGCTCTTTTTGTTGGGAGCCTTGGCCTTTAATGTCTGTGTCATCTCTCCAGTCCTTGTGTAGCTTTTATGTGCTTAATTTGATCAAAGGTTGTGAAAGTCTCTCATATATTGACAGCAAAGTTACCAGTAAGTACACAATATTTTCTGATGCATCCTTTCTAAATTAAGTAAAAAGAAATGATTGAGGATGTAATAATTTATGGATTTATTTTTTCTAGAAAGGATATTTTGAAAGTACCCACCAAAATAGTGATCCACTCATCAAGAAACACAAGCAAGGAAAAAGTTTCTAAATGTTTTTGATTACTCTGTTTCACATATTTGTTTGCATTTTGTTTAATACATTTCCATAGTTCTTTTTCTAAGTCTCCTTTGATGGAAATAGTTGAAACAATATTTTTCTAAAAAATTTCCAGATGCAAAAATAGCTATGGAAACGCATAAAAAATCATGAGCAGAATGAAAGTATAATGTAGCAGGCCTAAAATTTATAAAAATTAATAAGCCTACAATATAAGTATATTGTCTAATATAAGTATTTGTCTCAGTAATATTCCAGTCTAGAATATAAATTTAATCATCAGAATGTCAAGAGTAATATATGTTTTAAAAATTATACTGAGTATCAATGTTACTTGTTTTGAGCCAGAGTCTAGTGTTGCACTTCTCCAATGAGAGAGTTATGTGAGAATATGAAACTTTTTAAAGAATAATTTTCAGGGAAAAGCCTGTGTTATTTTTAGGTGATGTCTTTAAGAACCAGTGGAGGATTTTTTTTCAAGGTTTTAATCACATAAAATATAAAACTGAAATTCTTCAAGCCGGGCGTTGGTGCCGCATGCCTTTAATCCCAGCACTCGGAGGCAGAGGCAGGTGGATCTCTGTGAGTTTGAGGCCAGCATGGTCTCCAAACCATGGCACATGCCTTTAATCCCAGCACATGGGAGGCAGAGGCAGGCAGATCTCTATGAGTTCGAGGCCAGCCTGGTCTCCAAAGCGATTGCCAGGATAGGCTCCAAAGCTACACTGAGAAACCCTGTCTCTAAAAACAAAAAAATGAAATTGGTGTTATTTATATATAAGATAAATACACCTATGCAGACTTAATAAGAAAATCATTTAAACTTTGCCTATAGGTTCAATTTTTGTTTGGGTTTTTGTTCCTTTTTTATTTATTTATTTTTAATTACTCATATTTACATATCCGTCCCCCCATTCCCTCACCCTCCCATCCTTCCATGATCCCTCCCCAACCCTCCCCAACCCACACTGACTCCTCCCCAGGGATAGTGAAGCCCTCTACCAAGAACCTTCAAAGTCTGTTGTATTGTTTGTGGGAGGGCCTAGGCCCTCCTTGCTGTGTCTGGTTGTAATAGTATCCCTCCATAGGGAGTGGGCTCCCAAAGTCCATTTGTGCTCTAGGAATAAAGACTGGCTCCACTGTTAAAGGACCTGTAGACTGAGGAAACCATCCTCAGTGAGTTAACCAAACCCAATCACAGAAAGATACACATGGTATGTACTCACTCATTGTTGATTTTTAGACATAGAGCAGAGGATCACTAGCCTGCATGCCCCACTGCCAGAGGAGCTAGGAAACAAGGAAGACCCCCAAGGGAAGACGGCATAGTGGGTCGAAGAAGGGGATGGGGAAAAGAACCCCTGACCAAATTGGAGCCCGGGGGCAGGGAGAGGAAGGAGAGTCTTCATCCAGTTGCTGTTCGAAGTGGAAACAGACACCCACAGCTAAGCACTGAACCATACTACTGGAATTCAGTTGTGGAGAGGGAGGACAGTTAAGCAAAGGAGCCAAGACGGGGATGGAGAAACCTGCAGAAACAGTGGACCTGACCTACTGATAGAATGGGACCCTAGTCATAAAGCTGGGGAAACAGCATTGGGTTTTTGTTTCTTAAAAATGAATTTTGTGGCTGTTTCCGGTTCAGGTTCCACTGCCTGTGTCTTATCAGAACACGATGCTTTAAACTTAGAATTCAACAACAACATGAATTGCGAAAACCTACAAACTCATGGAAATTAAATAATGCTCAATTGCACAATTCTTTGGTCGAGGAAGAAATTTTAAAGAAGAAATTAAAGATTTCCTAGAATAAAATGAGAATGTGGGCACAACATATGCAAACATATGGGACGCTTTGAAAGCAGTGCTAAGAGGAAAGTTTATAGCACTAAGTGCCCACATGAAGAAACAGGAGAATAATCACACTATAGAATTAGCACAATTGAAAGCTCTAGGACAAAAAGAAGCCCATACACCCCAGAGAAGCAAATGCCAGGAAATAATCAAACTGAGGGCTGAAACCAATAAAGTGGAAACTAGGAGAACAATACAAAGAATCAATATAACGAAGAGTTGGTTCTTCAAGAAAAATCAACAAGATAGAAAAACCTTTATCCAACCTTGCCAAACTGCAGAGAATGAACATGAAAATTAATAAAATCAGGAATGAAAAGGGGGACATAACAGCACACACAGAGGAAATCCAGAGAATCATCAGTCATACTTTGAAAACCTATATTCCTCAAAATTCGAAAACCTAAAGAAAATGGAAAATTTTCTGGATAGATTTCACTTACCAAAATTAAATCAAGAACAGGTAAACAATGTGAATAGAAATGAAATAGAAGCAGTCATCAAAAGTCTCCCAACCAAAAAAATAAAAGCCCAGGGCCAGATGGATTCAGGGCAGAATTCTATCAGAAATTCAAGGAACAGCTAATACCAATTCTCCTCAAAGTATTCCACACAATAGAAGCATAAGGGTCATTGCCAAACTCTTTTCACGAGGTTTCAATAACCTTGACACCCAAGCCACACAAAGTCACAACTAAGAAAGAGACCTACAGACCAATATCCCTCATGAACATTGGTGCAAAAATATTCAATAAAATACTGGCAAATTGAATCCAAAGAACATCAGAGAAATCATCCACCATGATCAAGTAGGCTTCATCCCAGAGATGCAAGGATGGTTCAGCATATGAAAATCCATCAATGTAATCCACCATATAAATAGACTGAGGAAAAAAAATACATGATCATATTAGATGCTGAAAAAGCCTTTGACAAAATCCAACACTCCTTCATGATAAAGATCTTGGAGAGAACAGGGATAAGAGGAACATACCTTAGCATAATAAAAGCAATATACAGGAAGCTGACAGCCAACATCAAATTAAATGGAGAAAAACTCAATGCAATTCCTCTAAAATCGGGGACAAGGCAAGGCTGTCCACTCTCTCCATACCTCTTCAATATTGTCTTTGAAGTTCTAGCTAGAGCAATAAGACAACAAAAGGAGATAAAGGGGATACAAATTGGAAAGTCAGAAGTCAAACTTTCACTATTTGAAGGTGATATGATAGTTTACATAAGTGACCTGGAAAAACTACCAGGGAACTCCTACAGCTGATAAACATCTTTAGCAAAGTGGCAGGGTACAAGATTATCTCAAAAATCTGTAGCCCTACTATATACGGATGACACATTGGTGCATAAAGAAATCAGAAAAAGTGAAAGACCTGTACAGTAAGAATTTTGAGTCTCTAAAGAAAGCAATTAAAGAAGATACCAGAAAATGGAAGGGTCTCCCATGTTCTTGGATAGGTAGAATCAACATAGTAAAAATGGCAATCTTGCCAACAGCAATCTACAGATTCAATGCAATCCTTATCAAAATCCCAGGACAGTACTTCACATACCTTGAAAGAACAATTCTTAACTTTATATGGTGAAACTAAAGACCCAGGATAGCCAAAATAATCCTGTACAATAAAGGAACTTCTGGAGGCATCACCATCCCTGACTTCAAGCACTATTACAGAGCTATAGTCGTGAAAACAGTTTGGTATTGGCACAAAAATAGACAGGTAGCCCAATGGAATAGAGTTGAAAACCCCGATATTAACCCACACACCTACGAGCACTTGATCTTTGACAAAGAAGCTAAATTTATACAATGAAATAAAGAAAGCATCTTCAACAAATGGTGCTGGTATAACCAGATCCTGACATGGAGAAGACTTCAGATAGATCCCTGTCTATTGCCATGCACGAAACTTATGTCCAAATGGATAAGAGACCTCACATAAATCCACCCATACTAACCCTATTAGTGGTAAATACCCTTGAATTAATTGTTACAGGAGACCGATTCCTGAACACTATACCAGTAGCACAGACATTGAGACCAACAATTAATAAATGGGACCTCCTGAAACTGAGAAGATTCTGTAAGGTACAGTCAGCAGGACAAAACGGCAACCCACGGAGTGAGAAAAGATATTCACCAACCCAAATCTGACAGAGGGCAGATCTCCAAAATTTACAAAGAACTCAAGAAGCTAGTCTCCAAACCACCAAATAATCCAATTATAAAGTGGGGTACAGAACTAAATAAACAATTCTCAATAATCTAAAATGGCTGAAAGACACATAAGAAAGTGTTGAACATTCTTAGCCATCAGGGAAATACAAATCAAAACAACTCTGAGATACCATCTTACTCCTATCAGAATACAATGTCATCTTTTCAACGATGTTCATAGCAGCATTAATTGTAATAGCTATAACCTGGAAGCAACCTAGATGTCCCTCAATTGAAGAATGGATAGAGAAAATGTGGTACATCTACACAATGGAGTACTACTCAGCAGAAAAAAAAAAAAAGTAGAATCTTGAAGGAAAATTTACATGAAAATTGATGGAACTCGAAGAAACCATTCTGAGCAAGGAAACCCAATCACACAAAGACAAACATGGTAGGTACTCACTCACATGTGGATTTTAGACATAGATTAAAGGATTACCAGCCTACAATCCAAACTGCCAGAGAAGCTAGTAAACAAGGAGGACCCTATGAGAGACATACATGGTCCCCTGGAGAAGCGGAAAGAGGCAAGATCCCCTGAGCAAATTGGGAGCATGGGGAAGGGGGATGGAACTAGGAGAATGAGAAGTGTCGACCAGGAGGGGTGAGAGGACATGAGTGAACAGAAAGGTTGATTGGCGGAAGCAGAGAAGAACACAAGAAAGGAGATACCACAATAGAGGGAGACATTTTAGGTTTAAAGAGAAATCAGGCACCAGGGAAATATTTAGAAATCTACAAAGATGACACCAGCTAACAATCTAAGCAACAGAGGAGAGGCTACATTATAAGTCCTCCCCTGATAATGAGATTGATGACTGACTTATATGCCATTCTTTATATGCCATTCTATAGCCTTCATCCAGCAGCTGGTGAAAGTAGAAGCAGACACCCACAACTAATCACTGAACTGAACAGGAATCCAGTTACAGAGGACGACTAATATGCAAAGGGGTCCAGGCCAGGCTGGTGAAACCCACTGAAACAGCTGACCTGAACAACGGAGAGCTCTTGGCCACCAGACTTATAGCTGCGAAACCAGCATGGGTCTGAACTAGACCCCAGGAACATGGGTTTCAGTGAGGAGACCTCAGAAATCTATGGGACCTCCTGTAGCAGATCAATACTTATCCATAGCATAGATGTGGACTTTGAGATCCCATTCCACATAGAGGGATATTCCTTGAGCCAAGACATATGGGGGTGGACCAAGGCCCTATTGCAAAGGATATGATAGACTCTGATGACTACTGAGATATTCCTTTGAACTTGTGTGTGTGTGTGTGTGTGTGTGTACTGGGAAATTGAACTGTGATGTAGAAAAGCAACATATGCTCCTAAATCTGAGCCATATCTCCAGCCTAAGGCAGTTCTTACTCTAATTAAATCCAAAGCAATTGCCAGATAGGGATTTGTACAGTGACTTTAGTAAAACTTTTCTATTTGGCTTTAGCTACATTTTGAAATTTATCAATGGATTAGCTGGGTGTGCTCAGAAGTAACCACATTTCCAGTTATTTCTGTCGGGGATATGGTTTGCAATTTTCTTCCAGAGATACTGAGTTGTTTATGTATTCAGCAGCTTTTTAGTAAGTGACACCTCAAGCAGTGCTGTCAGTAATTAGGAATTGAAGAATAAGTCATTTATATGTGTGACTCTTCTGGAGCCAGCCATCAAGTAGTGAAGAAAACAAAGAATCTCTAAGAGTGAAGCATTTTGACAGAGTAAAATGAATCCCTTATTATATATTATATCAAAAAATACCTTGTGATCTTATTGCTTAAGCAATGCTATCATCCAGTGTATTTGAGATATTGTGTCCTAGACTATAGTCTGGTGTTTTTGCTTACCACATATAAATTGGGGTCTGAAATAATGAGTGAAATGATGAGTAATATCTTTCTGGACAGAGTCTAAAGGAGGGGGAAACATTTCCTATACTCATAAACATCAGGAGAAGAGGCAATTGCAGAAGTGATGGCTATGGGCAAGGAAGTAGAAATGACAGCATGATTTTACCAATGGTTTATAAGAGCAATAGAGATGCATATGGATTAAGTGTTTAGCACTTGGATTCATAATTATTCCTCACAGAGTATATTCCGATGCAGACTGCAAGCTTCATGAATTTAAAACCAATGAAATGAAGACCCAGTTAGAGATATTTGTATCTCTTGTTCAAAACTCAACAAAAGCTAATTATGGAAATACATAACTTAAAAATATTTCTGTGACCCTGAAAACTAGGAACATTTAGAGTTGGACAAGAGTTTTAGTGCATTAGGGCATCTGTACCAGATATACCATAGATTGGATGGCCTTTGCAACTAATATCTATGTCTTTTTCTGAAAACTGCAGAATCCATGATCAAGATACTGGAACATTTGATGTCTAGTAACCATTTATTTCATGATTTATAGAAATTTTCCTGGCTGCTGTATCGTTTTAGAATTTTCATACACCCCCTCAGTTTTTAGAGAAACATAGACATATTGAAAGTAAAATGAATCCAAAATTTGATTCTCTCATACCATCTCATGATGCAGAAAAACTAGATTTGAATGTTGTTGGCTACTTGGCTTAAATCAAACCTTGGATATTTGCCATAGAACAAAGTCATGAATAATCTGATAAAAATCTTGGTAACTCTTGCACAAAATACTTGGAAGTAGGATAAAAACCATTAGAGCTACTTTTTCAAGTTCATCAGACAACCAACTCAATGACATTTTGACCCTTCTAGATTGAGAAGAGCTGTATACCAGTACTGAAAGTAAAATATGTCATTTGTCCATATTTCTAAAATAATTTTCATTCCCCTACTTTCATTCACTAATGAAGTAAGAAGAATTATTTTTTGATCCAGAGTTTGTAAACAATTTATCTGATGGTATTTTCCCCAAGATTAGAAAGCTTTCAAAATGCTCCTCATGAAACGTCTCTAGCAAGCATCCATGAATAGCTATAAAAATTTGAAAAGGATAATGTACCATTAGTAACAAAAAGGCAGGTGAGATACTGTTTCTTTTGTCTTTGGGCTACCAAGACACTACTTTTGTAAAACAATGGTCTTTGTCAATGAATTTCTAGACTTGTGAGCCTAAGTATAAAAGAATTTTTACAAACCCTAAAATTTTAACCAAATTATATTCAGATTTCCCCAATAATCATAATACTTAGCTTCACAAGAATGTGAGACAGGTTCCTAAATCCTAAATGTTTTCTGTCATTATCATAAGCAGTATGCGGATCTTATTTGAGTTAAGAATATACTTTGTGGATGAGACAACTTTCAAATTTCTCCAAAGGATTTTTTATCATTTTTTTCAGACAAAATGCACAAAAGAAAAGGGATATGAGGCTCAGATCCATATACTTTTCAATGTACTATGATAAAAATGATTGAAAGACTAGAGATAGCAAATATTGAACAAAATGAAGCTGTAGGTTATCTGTGGTTTTTGATCTGTAATTCTGCTTTTTTCCCATTATCAAAGAGATGACAATGGAGCCATATATGGAGAAATGAGACACAATCTTTATTATGATTTTCATTTTGTGTATGACCTATATTTCACATGAAAAATATCTAGCTATTGTACCCAGGACAGCCTTAAAATTAAAGTGTCTGTCAAATGCTCAAATTACACAAAATATTAAAGGTCCTTTACTTTTTAACAGAAGATACAGTACTTACATTTCCTTCCAAAATGTGTATTAGTAGAATTAAAGCACAGAATAAATATAAAAGTGAAAAATAACATCAGTAAGAGTGTGTTGTTAAGAAAATATTATTCATAATATTCAAATGGAATTGAAAGAAATGTAGGTATTTATGATCAGTTTAATTAGAAATAACATTTTGCAGGGTCAAATTTAGATGTATATCTGTGAACTGCAAATATTACTTCATAGCTTAGTGATCAAAATAACCATAAATACTAACAGAGAACTTCTATGGGTGAAGTTTCTGGCTCTGGAATACCTGAAACTTGTAAAGAGAGACAGTTGTCTCAGATTATGACTTGTTCTGTTATTTCCATAACTGCAACTGAAATTTTATGACTACTATGTGTCCTACATTTATAAAAATAGAGCAAACATGCAAATAATTAAACAGTTTTTTTCCCGTAGAAAGGAAATTTGTTCTACAACTACATTTGAAGAGAATTTCTATTTAGCCCTGAAATGTATCCTATTTTTGTTTCACTATTTAAAAGTAAAAGGGGAACATTTCAATAATATTTATAAATAATGTTAGACAAATGGGCAGATAGTCCTTTGATCCCAGCACTGGAGACACAGAGGCAGATCTCAGTGAATTACACACCATCCTGACTTATATAATAAATTGCAGGCTAGGTAAAGGCTACATAATGAAAATCTGTCTCCAAGAAATAATTGAAAAATGAAAATTGAAATTTTTTTATTGTTCTGATTTTTCGTTTTAAAACAATATATCACATTATATTGTAGATAGCTATAATTACTAAGTATCTGCAATCTTCAATAAAAATAGAGAAATTTAAAAATATTTAGTGTGTAATGTTGATGTTCTCTCCTCCTTCTGACAGTCATAGTATGAATAGTGACTATGATGGCGATCGGAGTTCTTCCCATGCTGAAAATGGCTTAAGAACCTGTGAGTACCTGGTGAAAGGTTTCTGTTTTTTTTTTTCTTTTTTTTTAACTTGGATCTGTTTTTGTTCATGTTTTGGGTTTTGTTGTTGTTGTTGTTGTTGTTGTTTTGAGACTGGATTTCTATATGTAACAGCACTGGCTGTCCTGGAATTTGCTCTGTAGACCAGGCTGGCCTCAAATACACAGAGATCCTCATACCCCTGACTCCTGGGTTCTGGGATTAAAGGTGTGTGTCACCATACCTGCCTTCGATCTGATTTTTATGTGAAAAAAATGAAATGAAATATTCATTAAGGGTGATTATGATGATAGAATGTAAACTGCTGAAGATTTCTGGGCAGATGGAGCCTGACTTGTTGCTTGTCTGCCTTTTTGTTAAGTATCCTTTAGATTACTGTGCCCACATCTTTCCTTTCACCCCTACATGTGTTTCCACTAACATATAAGGAACATGTTTAAATATTTGTTCTTTATGTTGCTTTTGAATTTTACTGAACTTGTTAAACCTATTTAGGTAGCAGGTATTATTAAGGTTGGAATTATAAAAATACAATTTCTCATTCAGTATTATTAAGTAAATACAAGTCGCAAAAAGATGGGCAAAGTTATACAAAGGTGGCTTCAAAGAACTCCAATTTAACTTTCAGAAGATAATCCTTATGTTGCTGAAAAGTCTAATATTTCAACATTGTATTTAACCATACATTATTAAGAGTTTGAATATGCTGTGTAAAAATATTTTATTATATTTTTAAAATTATTTATTTATTATGTACACATTGTTGTGCCTGCATGTTTGCTTGCAGGCTAGAAGAGGGCACCAGATCTCATAACGGATGGTTGTGAGCCACCATGTGGTTGCTGGGAATTGAATTCAGGTCCTCTGGAAGAGGAGTCAGTGCTCTTAACCTCTGAGCCATCTCTCCAACACCCATACCTTGTTTTTCTTAACAGGATGATTTCTAATTCTATTAATTTTCCTGAAATGTGACTATTTTTATTGCTTAAATGTCAATCTTCATATAAGTCTGCCAATTATTTGAATATTTCTTGGACCTCATTGTTCTAGTCCAATTCCATGTTGATCTCACTGTTCTAATCCAATTCCATATTGACACTGAAATAGTCATGCTTGTACCATATGATTTAGTCTAATCTGGGTCTTGCTTCTAACTCCATACACATCCACTCTCAATCTCCTCTCTTCTTCTTAGTCTAAAGTTCCAAGTTCATCCTATTTTTCAAATACTAGGTTCTGTTCTTCTATGAAACTACCATAGGGTACTGTATTTCAAAGTTCCCCTTCTGAAGAAAAAAATATTTTAAAAGATGGGTAGAATGATGGACAGAAAACTGATTTTCAAAATTTTGTTCTTAAATATAGCTATAGAACAGTCCAATTACAGTGGCAGTGACACACAGCAACATAAAATCAAATCTAACTACTCTGTCTTATATTTCTGGGTTGACTGTGCTCACCTGCATGACTTCATCTCATGGTCTCTCAAGTCATTACCGTCATATGGAAGCTAGGACCTGGGATATTTCAAAGCTATTTTATTCATGTGTCCAATGTTTAATGCTGCCTTTCAACCCTGGTATCTTAGCTGAGGCCATTGCCTTAAAACCTTACAAGTGGGATTTACATATGTCTCAGGCTTCTCATAGATTAATAGCTAGGTTTTAAAAGAAAGTCAACTCATTAGGCAGATGTTCGATTACATTTCCTCATATGGCATCAGAAATCATGGCACTTCAATTCTGCTGAAGTCTAGCACACAGTGTTTGTTCAGATGAAATAACTAAGGTTGGACTATTATATAATCATATTGTACAGGATTTGATGAATCTGTCAACATATTTTAAAACTATTGAAAATATGAATGCTTTTTTTGTGTGTATAGTGGTCACTGCCAATATATGAGTTAAATTTATAGAGTACTGTGGTCTCATTTCATGAGATTCTTTATTGAGTGGTTTTTAATGTCAAGATTGAGATCTGGTCACCGATAGTTATTTTTTATTTAAAAAGTATGTATTATCTTTATTTTAGTCATTTTAGTTTTTTGGTTTTTCAAGATAGGTTGTAGACCTCGCTGTCCTAACTAGCTCTGTAGATCAGGCTGGGCCTCAAACTTACTGAGTTCTGCCTTGCTCTATCTACTTCATGAATGCTAGGACTAAAGGTGTACACCACCACAGCCTGGCATATATAATCTCATAATATTATGTTTTCAACATTTTATATATCCTGTTAGTTATTTATTGAAACATAGTTTGTTTGAATAATATTTGTTCATTAACTTTCTCTGTGTCATGTTTTCTTAGCAATTAAGTCTAACTTCATCAGAGAATTCTTCTGTTCAATGCCTACAATTTTCTTGGGAGCAAAAGGATCTTCAAGCCTGGAGATCTACTATCTTCCCTTTGACATGCATATTCGCTATTGTGCCATCATCCTGAGCAACAAATCGGTAAGAACAGAATTGTTCTATGCACTTCTTCCATTATGGGTTACTGCCATAATGAAGTAACCATTAAAGGCAATTTAAAGCAACTGGGACTCTGGAAAACATTCATGCTTCTAGTCCTCAAATTCCAACCAAAGAGGTTTTTCTGAAGAGTACCAAAAGATTACCACTACTTATAGATAAATTTCTGGTGGCCGAATGAGGAAGTTCCATGGGCACAGAACCACCACAAGTGGCTTTATATCAGTCTCTGAGAGTCAAAGATCTGGCCTGTTATGCTAAGTCCTCTACTTAACATAAAAATCTTCAATTAAGGAATTGACCAAGGCTGCCATCTCCTCAGAGTGTCATCTGAGGATGGCTCTCCTTCAAGCTTCACAAGGTGTTTATGGAATTCATTTCTTTGCACCTATGGCATTCATGCAGCTCAGTTCTTAAAACCAATAATGGAGAGAACAGTTCAGGGTGGGGGTGGAGAAGAAGGAGATATGGGAGAATAACTCTGAGAGACTGCCTGTTAGGTAATGATCCGAGGAGGAAATTTAGAATTCTCAGAATATATAGATACATCCATGTATATCATGTGTGTTCACTATATTTAACTAATGAATGATATTAGGCGATAATAATTACCTACTATCTGTAGAATTAATTGGGTGTGAAGAATAGTATATTCTATTAATTATAAAATATACTTTAATTTTACATTTAAAATCATCACTGAGAAAGTGTGCATAATAAAACTCACTTGGTTTTATCTTATTCAGTGCCTAGAATTGTAGCTCAGTAGTAGAGGGCTTGTGCAGCATCAACGATGCTTTGGATTTCATTCTTAGCAATGGAAAGGAAATCTTTTAGGATTCAACTATATTTATTTCTATATAAAAATGTATGAAAATAAGTGGTTATTATTTGTTACCATTGATTGTTACCTTTCAGAGTTAATTTATGATTACAAAAAATTAATTTTAAAGAGTAGAATTACCCAAGGCAGTGGTGTCGCATGCCTTTAATCCCAGCACTCAGGAGGTGGAGGCAGGTGGATCTCTGTGAGTTAGAGACCAGCCTGGTCTACAAGAGCTAGTTCCAGGACAACCTTCAAAGCCACAGAAAAACCCTGTCTTGAAAACCCCTGCCCCTAAAAAGCTTAGAATTGACAAATCAATTTTCTTTCTTGCACTAGACTACTAGAATATTATCTACCTACATAAATGAATCTAAATTCTTTAAAATAGAGTCAAGTTATTTTTGGCATCCTTACTTATTAAAACACATGTTTTATTATATATGCTTTATACTTTCCAGTGAAAACATTAATATAAAACAACAATCTTAGAAATAAATTGCTACCTTTTGGAAAGAGTGCTACAATTTAAAGTATTTAATTGAATTATAGTTGCTTTTAATTTGTACATTCAAGTATATTGTTAATTATTTTTAAATACACTTATATGCTTAACTATATATCATACATTCAAGCAAGCACAAGCGATGTATTCCTGTTATTACTAAATGTGTGATAACCCCTTTCCTATTAAGCACATCTACTAAAAACTGAAGTAGTTGGGCCTCTATTTGTTAGTTTTCCACTCATAAAATAAAACCTTTTCTACTGACAGTGTTTTCAGGAGTACACACTTATTTTACTTCTGTGTTTTACTTCAATGTTCAAGTTAGAAAGGAAATATTTGCATAACTTTGAAGATAGAGATATTTGTACAAATCTTTCATCTGTATTCATAAAAATTTTCACCTTATAGGCAGACTCACAACAGTCCTTAAAGCTCCTGCTATTTCATGCCAGAAGTCCAAAGAACTTTCAGATATAAAATGAAATTGGAAAGCTTAAAATGGAAACTATACCAGAATCAGAACTCAGTCCCTGAGGAATTCCATCTCCTTAAATTGAGAAAACAGGCAGCATACAAACATTACAGATCACAGCAGTAACCTGACACAGTGATCTGGCTGCACTGTGGTTGCCAGCATTTGATTTTATTTTATGGAATGGATTCTGCTGTGTTCTCATTCTAGAAGCCAGCAAGCATTGACTGAACTCATTTTTATGAGGAAGTTGGTAACCCTAGACAGGGATTTTTATTTTCATTTGAGAGCTCTTTAGTGTGTTGCTTTTAATTACAGCCACTTGATCTGGTATACTAGGCCTCATCCACAAGTGTTTGAGCATTGTCTTTGATCCAACTAGCACATGTTTTTTTCTGGTATATTTATTTTCCACTACTTTATTGCTTTCCTATAGCTGCATACCTTTTTTAGAACAAATATTTGTAACATTTATTTTCATGTGTTCTTCCTCAAATCCTGTCATTTCAATTTCTTTTGATACAATGACTAAAAATGTGTTATAGAAAATACATAATACACATAGAAGGAAGGAACAGATTGTTCTTACAAATATAAAACTAACAAAAGCTTTTTAACATGCTTATTGGAAGAAGCAGCTAGAGAGTGAGTAAGAGGTGGATTAGAATTCCTACTTGCATTACAACTTCAATGAAAAGTGAATTTTTTGAAAGCTTGAAAACATAAAATAAAGAGACTGAGTGTCTATATAGGGCATGATGTAGGAAGCCAAATGAATGGAATTTGTTGTGTAGATGAATCAAGAATCATCCACAGTCAAATAAGCATCCAATTTGACTTCCTGATCAACTTCTGTCCTTCCTGGTAGAGAGAAAGGGAAGAAACCATTGTAAATGAATATCTCGCTTTTAAGTACATGGACAGAGCAGACTTTGTCCTGTACCTACTTTTTTTTGGGAGGGGGGGTTGAGACAGGGTTTCTCTATGTAGCTTTGGAGCCTATCCTGGCATTTGCTCTGGAGACCAGGCTGACCTCGAACTCACAGAGATCCGCCTGCCTCTGCCTCCTGAGTGCTGGGATTAAAGGTGTGCACCACCAACGCCTGGCCTGTACCTACTTCTTTTAAGTTGCCTTCTTCTCAAAATAATCTTGAATTAAGTCAGCGATAATACAGAATGGCATATGCTCATTTTCTTTATGTCCAATGGTAGTGAACAAGCTAGAGTTAATTGTCTCTTTATTTTGCCTCCATTAACAATAACACTGCAAAACGGAATATGAAGTTAATTGTCTCTTTATTTTGCCTCCATTAACAATAACACTGCAAAACGGTTCCATTAATCTAATGGATTCATATTCCATTAGATTAATTCATACTTCACTATCTTATAATTATTCATACTTCACTATCTTATAATTATTCATACTTCACTATCTTATAATTACAACTACCTGTTTTTGACAAGGCCAATGGTACACTTTCACCAAAAGTGTTTTAATTTCTTTTTAATACCATCAAATAGCTAGTCATTGTTCATATTCCCTAATTGTCTCATGATTCTAATTTTTCCTCAATTTATGCTTCTATGTTGAGTCTGGATCTATTATTTCCCCACTGTGATTTCTGTTGTGTCTTCAGGAGCTCCTTGCTTCCACTTGTTTTCATTTATGCTCTAGGCTTCTAAAGACACTAGTTGTACAGAGAAGGAAAATAAAACTGAGAGACCTAGTAAACTTTCCTGAGGCTTAATGGTTACTAGCCAAACAGTGGAAACATGCTCTCTACTGCTGATTTCTCTGTTTAATGTTGATGGCCTTACATGTTTTCCACTTTAATTCTTGCTTTATTAATTTAGCCTTTTATACTTTTTATCTAATAATGTGTCCTAAAATATTTCTAGTGACCATATGCTCATTTTGAAAATGCATACTTTACAAAATAGTCTCATGGACATAAATGTTGCATAATAATTATATAATAATAATAATAATAATAATAATAATAATAATAATAATAAAGTAAATTTATTGTTGTTGTATTGTTACAATAGGGACAAAGTTTCTCTCATGTTTCCATGATCCTTTTAAGATGGTTTCCTAAGAATATCTGTAAAGAATTTCTAGGATCTCCTTATTCAACCTTTCTATCTGATTTCATACTAAATTTATAGGATGCTAATATAGTACTATATACTTTACTTTTGCCCATATAAATTAGTTCATAGGTTGCTCAGAAAAGCATGCAAGAAAATTCTGATAAAGTGTATAGATTTTCACTTTGACATGACTATAATGTAGGTTTTGTGAGTGTTTAAAATTTATTATTATTCTATCCTTATATTTTAGATTGGAGATTTGATATATATTATAGAAGGAAAAGGTTTGATACCCTTGCCTTCCAATTTCCTTCCAATGAAGCCTCCGACTCCAATTGACTACAGTACTTCTCTAGATGAAGGTATGTTATACATGTTTTGCTTCATTATATTGACAGATGGCATTATTCCTTATATGGTCATGCAAACATCCTTATAGCAGTTATTCCAATACACATTCATATTTTGGAAACCATCCTTCTAATTCTTTTATGTCTGCATCAATGAAACAGCACCATTTTACTAGTTAAAAATGTAATTGAAAACTTCTTTATGAATCTAGGTTTTTAGTCTTCAGATAATATTGGAATTTAGTGTATCAAATATTTCTCAATAAATACAATTGATTTCTGTTTGGAAATCAAACCTCTACAGTCTAAAAATATCATTTATATTTTTATAATGTAGATTTCTCTCCCTTTTTTCTAATTCTTGACTACTAGCACTTAAAGAATTTGGTTGTTAATGAAACTTAGTTTTATTTTCTGTCTGTCCTTAAAAGACATCATTTTCATGTTTATTTCCATTCCCATACCTGATCCTTAATGTGTGTGGTAATTCATGTCAATGACTGTAAAAATAAAAACCTGAGACTGAGTATGAACTCTGACAGAGGTTTTGATTGGAAAAAAACATGCTGAGAGACATGTGTGGGTAATGATTCTGAAAAATGAAGAAGCCTGTCAATTGAGATAAGAATGAGTGTTGTATTTTATCAGCTTCATGGGGAGAGTATGATTCTGTTAGTTCATAATAGCATTTTTTAAAGAAATCTCTTCCTCATGGTTAAGAGGATTTCCCCATGAATGGTAGAGATTTTATTTATTTATTTACTTACTTACTTTTTTGTTTTTTTCACCTTGAGATCAAATTTGTCCTTGGAGACATCCTATAACTGTTGGGATTTTTTTTTCTCTTGTACTAACGTAGCCTCTGTGGTAACAGGCTTTAGTGGAATAAGGGTGTGAGAATCTGTCCTATCTTTTCTCCATAAGGGTTACTGTTACTACTTTATCAGGATCATAGTGTGCCGAGTTTTTGAGCATATTGATATTTTGAAAAAAGCACTATTGGAGTAAAGCTTCCCTTAGAGAATATCAGTAGATCATGTTTTACTTTTAAATTCTTATTCTTTAATCAGTTATTTAGAATTAATAGAAATGTATTATCCATTTATTTTTTCTCTGCCTAATGAATATCGTAACTAATTGCACTTTCATGTTTCTAACCTCGCAAATCCATGCTAGATAACAGTACTGAGGGAAAAAGTGTTCATTGTATTCATTAATATTTCTACTTTCCTAGAATGTAATAAGGAAGATCCAGTCCTATATTTGAGCTGTAAGCCTCATCAAATACTTGATATGGACCTTAAAGTACCACTGACTAATGAAGCCAAGGAAAAGGCTTTGGCTTTTGCAGCACAACAACAGATGTCAACTCTTGAGTATGAACGAAGAGCTGTCACTGGCACACTGGAGAGCAGTACCATCCGTGTAGCCATTGCCCTCCTAGGACTAACCAAGATTGAGGTAGGAATAGAGAAATGATGCCATTCAGTTTTTTAAGGAAAAATGGACATCTATTTATTTGTTTGTTTTTGTATGTCTCTGTGTGTGCATGTGCACACATTTGAGCCTGCATATACCAGGACATGCATATGGAAATCAGAGGAGAATTTCCAGGGATTAGTGTTCTCCTTTTACCATGTGAATCCTAAGGATCTAACTCAGATCATCAGTCTTGAGGGCCAGTGATTATACCTGGAGAGATGTCTCCGTGGCTCCAATTATTCTTAAAACTTTGCAGTTCTCTTATTGTATAGTTAAAATACTTTTAGATAGAAAATGATGAATATTCTTCTTTTCCTAGAAGGAATTTCAGTGATATTGTACTTCATTTTTAAAATATAATGACATTCTCCCATGCTTGACACCGACCCCCCAACCCACCCCACCACCCACTCCCCAGGGATAGTGAGACCCTCCATGGGGGACCCTCAAAGTCCTTCACATCATCTTGGGGAGGGCCCAGGCCATCCTTCCCTTATCTGGGCTGCAATAGTATCCCTCCATAGGGAATGGACTCCCAAATTCCATTTGTGCTCTATGGATAAACACTGGCTCCACTGTTAGAGGTCCCATAGACTGCCTTGGCCTCTTAGCTGTCACACACATTCAGAGGGTTTGGTTCAGTCCAATGCTGGTTCCCCATCTTTACGACTAGGGTCTCCATGATCTCACTAGATCAGGTCAACTCTTTCTGTGGGTTTCTCCAGCACTATCTTGGCTCCTTTGCTCATCCAGGAGTGCGAGGGAATGGGGGGATGGATATGTAAATAAGAGTGCTTCTAAAATAAATTTTTAAAAAGTAAAAAAATATAATGACATCTGAAATAATTTTAATTATCACAGTGTAGACTTGAATTCCCAATAATTATCAGTTCTGACTGAACATGTGAATGTTCTGGGCACCTTAAAGTAACTCCATCACACAGGCCAACTTTAGAACAATTATATTTGAATCTCAGCAAATGTGTGAGTGGGAATAAGTTCTACAAATTGTCCAAGATGAGGCCTAGTATCAAATTGCCAAACTTCTTATAGACACTCTAACCATGCCCAGCTGTATGTTTAAATGGATGGTTACTTAAACCTCTTCAAGCTGCCGTTTTTTATGTTTTTAATGTAGTGGTAAAGGTAATTGGTGAAAATTGAGAAAAGTTTTTACAATATCTGTTAAATAATGTTCTGTTCATGCATACTTGTGATTGCTGTTATGATTGTTATAATCAGAATTATCATCAGGTAGTTTTCTTCATCCTTGTTGAAAACATACACACATACACACTCACTCAATCTATCTCTCTATTGATAGATATATAAAAATATAGAAATATGTCTATCTATATACATATATATAATAGATAAATCGATATTTCAACTAAATAGTTGACATTCTACAAATGCTTTATTTGTTCAGGTCCTAGAATCAATAAAGTCTATTAAAATATTTTTAAAATGCTTAAGATACATGATTTTAAAGCTCTAATAAGCTCAAAATTATCAAATGCTAAGGATTGGACAGTTTCTTAATTAACTTAGTCTGAATACTTCCAAGAAGTTGATTCTCTGACTAAAGCTCATAGTTCTGCTGAATAGTGGATTTGGGGATTCACATATGTCGCTATCACAAGAAGGTTTAATGAGTGATCATTTTGAAGTATCAGCCTATCATAAGAACATCCCTTTTCCTTTTTATCTTTTAAAATTTGTTTTTTCGCTATTCTCAAAATAATTTATTAAAAACGGTTAAGAGAATTTGTCTGTGATAGTTTTTTCTTACTGTAGGTATGTGTTGATTTTATACTTCTTTCGGCATATAAAGTTAGGTTTCATATGAGATTGACATTGGCATTTATTTGTTATTTCTCCTTTCAAGTTGTAAATTCATAGAAATCTAAAAGGATATTTTTAAACCTTTTTGTCTGTCATGATATCACGTGATGTCTATTCTGAGTAAATAGTGTCACTTATATCTTGCTTCACTTCCACTATTAAAGCTTCTGTCCAATTTTCATAAGGACAGTATTGTATCTAGAGGAGGATTTAAATGGGAATGTGCTGTAACCCAGATGTTATGAATAATGACCATATGGATTTTAAAAATACAAAACCTAGATATGAAACTATCTGGACATCTGGATATCCAAAAAGGCCTGATACCTAGTTGTTTTTATGTAGTCAAAGAAGATAGTGACTTGGTAGGTAGGTCCTGCAAATGATGTTAGTATGTGATGTATAGATGTGAAGGAACATAGGTTTCTACTCATGAAGTAAAGCCATAGTTCAGGATTGTTCATTAGTAGAATATTTTCCTTACAAGAGAAGTTATTGGCTACTATAAGCATTAGAAAAGGGAACATTGGCCACTGTTAAAGATGGCACCATTGGTAACTTGTATGGATTAGTGCTACTTTCTACATATTTTGACGATAACACCTCTAAAGAAATAAACTTGTGTTTGCTTTTTATCTGTTTTTCCACATGTGTTTTATCTCAGTGTATAATGCTACCCTGAGATTTGGAGGGAAAAGATAAGAAAATTATAATACAATTTCATTGTTCATTTACAGTGCCTTTTGCTCTTTAATATGTCGAAGTTGAAAAAGCCTAAATCCATTTTATATACAACAGAGCTGAGCCTTCCGGCCCATTTCAATATACCCAGAAAAATTTACATCCCTCAGATTCCAGAGCCTCCAGCTATCCAGACTCAATCTCCACAAATTAACCCTCACATTGTAACAGGTAATCAATGATACTTTGATTGGAATACCTAGAAGTATTATAGATATTTAAAGGCAGGAGCATTTGAGAAGAGAACAGTATTTATTTATGGTTAATATATCTTTGATGCAAACCATGTTTTTATTATTAATATATTTGCTACTGATTTCGTGAAGTATGCCTATTCTGTAATTGTGGTCAGGAAGGTATGAATTAGATTAGCATGAATATTGGTACATAAGTAGTATCAAATACTAATAATGTAGTAAACATGTGACTAAAAATTTTTGCTGAAATTACTTTTCAATTTTATTTTCATTTCTGTTCACTTAGTGTAGAGTACTTAGACTATAATTTTATTGCTAGTGATATCTTCAAATATATGACTATAGGTTTATATATGATGTGTTTTGGTTTTTTAGTAAATGTTTTATTAGGGAAGTTTCACTTGTTGATCTCCTCTAAGCCTGAGAGAGTGGTTACAAATGATAAACTCAAGGATATTCTCTTCACTTTGGTTTCCTAGGAGACCAACCAGGCGAGAAGCAACTGCCAAGCACCCAAGCAGGTAACAAGAACTTAAGAGTTAGAACTAGAATATGGCAGTAACCAATAAAAGACCATGTGGAAAACTTGAGGGTTTATTCCTTTACCAAAAATTCCAGTTAAAATGAGTGAATGAGTGAATACCTCGACAGGTACAATTCTGAGACAGAATATTCTACAATAAGAAGGATTATTAACCCCAAATTAATGTAATCCAGAAGTATATTGGTAAGGAGATTTGGGAAAGCAGGCTCCAGGAAAGTGTGAAAAATTATTTTGTTGTATATGTAGATGCTATAGCATTCTTTGCTTAAAGGTTGCAGACTACAATGTACTAAATATAACAATTCATTATAAGAGTTTTTATAATAGATATACAGCTATTATATCAAATATAAACAAAAAACAAATGGCTATTAAATTTGCTAACTTATTTGATATAGTTTTCATTCTTAAACTTTAACATTGCACCTAACAAGGATGATGGTTTAAGCAGTCTGAAGACTACTACAGGCACAGCTTCTTCAGAAAACTACGGTTAACAATCCTGTACTTATCTTATTAATGTTTTGTAAAAATCCACCTTTTACATTGTTAGTAGAATGAATAAAAGAATTTGCTTAATCATTTTTCTCTCCACATATCAGACAGCTTTTGGACATATTTATTCCTAGATCCTAAGTTGATTCTCATTCCATTGATTTTTTTTTGTTCTTACTGCCAGGCTTTTGTCATATGTGAACACAACTGTCTTATTTTAGGTTTTCTATTGATGAGAAATTACACCATGACCATGGCACCTGTTACAAAGGAAATTATTTGATTGGGTAGTTGGTAGATCAAATGTCCAGTCCATTATCATCATGGTGGGACATAGTGGCTTTCAGGTAGACATGGTGCTAAAGAGGTAGCTGAGAGTTCTCCATTTTGTGTAGGCAACAGGAAGTGAATTGAACCACTGGGCATGGCTTGAGCATATATGAGACGTCAAAGCCTACCTCTACAGTGACACACTTCCTCCAACAAGGGAATATACACACTCCAACAAGGCTACACCTCCTAATACTGCCACTCCCTATGATCTTATGGGAACCAATTATATTCAAGCAGCCACAATCCTCTCTGTGGCTCCCATAAGCTTGTGACAGTATCATAATGCAAAATGAATTTAGTCCAACTTCAAAAGTCTCCACAGTCTGTTACAATTTCAACATTATATATATATATTTGAATTACAAACAAGATTGAATTACATGACGATCCCATTTCCCTTCTCCCTCCCTTCCTCTTCTACCACCCCCCAACTAAACTCCTACCTGTCATATGCCCTTTCTTCTAATCTACACCTGACTCAAAATTTCTGCTTCCTCCTGACCTCAGCATCCTTCCTTTTCTTCCCTTCTCACTCTCGTAGCTTCCTCCCCCCTCTTCCCATGTTCTCAA